GTTTTTAACTCTAACTGTAAATAGATAGTAATAATTAGTTTGATAATAATGTAATTGTAATCTATTAAATAAAGTACGCCAATTCGCGTTTTAAAAAAAAAATTAATCTATTTTAACTTTCTAAATAAAAATATTCAGCACTATAAAAAATATATAATATATTTTTTAAAATTAATATATTAATTTTTGAAGCTTGTATATGCTGTAAACATTTTCAAACATGTGAACGTTTGAACATTGAACATAATCTTGAACATAGTAAACATGACAACACTGCATTAGATTATATCAATTTATAAAATACATTAAAATAAGCCAATTTTGATAAATACTTTATACAATCCAGACTTGAAAAATTTATATTACATGTTTGTAAATTCACAAATTTGATTTCAAAAATATTATACAACAAATTTTTTGATTTGTAATCTCAACATTTGTCTGTGTTTTGTTTTTCTATATGAAACAGATTCACCAAGAAACAAAAGATGAATTGACAGAAAACATTGCTTTGAACCAAACACTCCAAACCAGAAGATGCTGCAATTAAACTGCAAAGATTTTTTGCTAATCTTTCTTATGCACCAAATGACTCAATGTCATCGTGATTGAACGAAAAATCGCAAGCAACCCTCAACTCGGGCAATTGAATTCAAAATTCAAGCTTGTTGAGAACAACCCTTAATTTGCACCTGATGTTGTATCAACTACTGACGACTTCGTTTGTTCACTTACAGCTGATGATTGTGATGATTTTTTTACTTCCAAAATAAAGGCATATATTTTCTGAACCTGTAACTTCATTCGTGCAATAATGATAGGTGAATGTGTTCTTATATTAGCACTACACCATTGAAGCATAGTTTTAATCCATGCAACAACAATAGGTGAGTACATTTGTACTTTAACGTTACACCATTGGAGTACAATAGTTACTAGTCTTTTAACGGAATCAGGTGCATAATAATAATACAAAGGAACTAAAAATAATTTGTTAATAAACTTGTGTATAATAATCATGATAAATGTTTAAGAACAATATGTACCCGAGTCTTTATAGGTCACCACAATCTTTTTTGTCATTTTACGACAAATTAAAAACCAGAAAAATACGCTGACTGACCCTTTACAATAGAAATATGAAAGAAAATAATCAATAACAAAGAAATTAAAATTTTATCCATATATAATCATTCTAAATTCGCGTTTTATCAAACCTGATGGTGCATACGGTAAAGAGAAAATCCATGTTATCGGACTGAACCAACCTGGTGGAAGATAAAACACTGGTGTTGAAAAATAATAGAACATCACAATAATTTGGACACCGTTGGACGCGACCCATAAAAATGTCGTAAATTTGATTTCAAAAGACGTTTTTAAATAGCCAAATGATGCAGCTATAAGTTTGGTGTCGGTGAAATGTAAATTGTATTAATTATTATATTGAATTGTAAGAAATACGTAAGCTGTATATAAAAAATGAAAAGGTAAATTACTAGTTCTTTCTAATTCATTCATTTTCTTATCCAATTTACGTTTTAATCTTGCCCAATTAGCAAATTCGTCCTATATTACGTATATCGTATGGAAAGAAATTGATCGATCATTTTTAGTTTGTTGAGAAGAAACAAGCAACGCTAATCAAATCGATCGGAAATGATATTGATTACTTTGGCATTAATTATAATGGTGAAAAAATATATATAATGAAAAATATCTATCAGGCTTCCTAATTGAAAAATTTAAAGACTTTCATATTACCTGTGGGCTAGTTCTTGCCAACTCTTGTCTGACGGTCAATATACTTCTTCTGATCTTGCTTTGGTTAGCCAATTTTTCTTTTTGAAAAATATTCAAGTAGACAACATAAGCCTAAATTAAATTTCTTATATTAGTAAATCAAAATACTGTGAAATTTTATTTATAAAAAACAAAAATATCGAGAATGCACGTACCATACTCGCGATCTGAGAATATCCAAACCAAAGCATAATTTCCGTTAAGAGAACGATCAATGCAATGAAAAACGCTAAAGCCATTATACTATAAAGTGTTTTAGTTAAAGTTAAATTAGGGTTATAATACAAATTAGGCGTTTCGTGAAGATGCGGCAGTATTTTGTTACGAGAGGATCTGTGGAGAAAGACTCATGAAAATTTTTTTTTTATATTTGCTAATAGAATGCTGGAGTATTTGCCCAACCCCCAAGTTTGATTGAAATTGGATAGATTTGCTTCTCGATATGTCTCGATTTAGTGCGATTAACAATCGATGTTGGCATTATTCTGCTGGCTGATATTCCAATTATTAATGGATCATTTTCAGCTTCTAGTATAACCTTTATTATAACTTTTACATCAGATACTTTATATTATTTTATTCCGAAATGCGAACATTGATTGTATACGTGTAAAAAAAAAAACAAAGATCGCTTCGTTTAATCTTCGTATCAAAAGTTTTTAGCAAAGATTTGTGCACCGTTTCACATTCAATTTGCTTATGTAAACTATACAAATCAGTTTTTAACTTTATTCTTTATAGTGGACGAGACGATTACAACCTTTGTCAGATTCCATTTTTATTAAGCATACGTATACGTAGCAATACTTTTACGAAATTGTCTGCCGTCATCCTATTATTGCCATTAATGGCGCCTCGATTCTTTACAAAACAAAACCTGTTTCATACAACGACCGTTGTATACTAGTACATATTAAGCACTATAGCATATTTAAAGTCAAAAATGGTGGTTTTTTTTTTTTTTTTTATTAATTATCAACCTAATTGGTTTTTTAAACACATAAAAGATTATTTTAATTGTAACAATGCAATATTTTTTTGTTATTGTTGTATATTTTGTTTTTTAATTGGATATACGTGTATATAAAACATTGGATAATTAATTAATAATATATATACATTTAATAAAAACATGTAATTGCCTACAATATTTTATTATATACATATTAAGATGTTTCATTATCGCGGGTTTCGAAATGGCTGAAATTGGCAAATAATTCTCTTTTTTTTGGAGTACTCGATTACTTTAGCACATTGGGAATTGTTTCCGATTCAGAAACAATTACATAAATCTGGCAATTAACATGTTAAGTGTTCAAAAAAAAAATAATTTGCCATTTTTAACCATTTCGAAAACCGTACGTATATTTTAAGTAATATAATTTTTAATTGTGTTAAAAAATTTTTTAATTAAAATTTTTATTATTATTTTTTTTTTGGTATTAAGGTGTTTTAATTAAAATTAAAAAATAGATTTTTATAATTTTATTTAAGAATTTAAAATAAATAAATTTTACTTATAGTTTAAAGTTTTTTTTAACTTTGATGACATTGTCAGCTCATTTATTAGGTTCTAAATTTTATAGTACAATTTGTACTTATATACGTTTTACAAGATCAATTATTACTAGTACGTATTATATTAGTTATTATAATCTTATCATTCAGTTACTTATAATGTCTAATTTCATGTCTGTCATATGCTTGTATATAGTTACTATTGCAGTTAGGATATATTATTAAACTATTATATAGACAAAAATATTTTTTTATTTTTTATTTTTTTATAGTTAAAGTCTCTATCTTGGGAGATGTGATATTTTTATTCAAGTATATTAGGACACAGCATGCTACCAGGGGTTCATCTTATATTAAAGGTTACAACTAGTCATACATGCACTTTTGGTGCCTAATTTAGGTAGTTCACTTACACATTACTATATAAGTTCTACACTAGTTGACATATCTACAAGTCACCTAAGGGTCTTGCTTATTTAAACCTTCTGCATATACAATCCTCCTTGTATTATGAAAACATTTCAAGGTATTGTCCATCCAAGTTTTTAATGCTTATCATTATCCTTAGGACTACTTTATTCTTAATAAAAAACTTACTAGAGTTTTTATATCTCATATATATAAACCTAGTTTTATGCAATGTGCTATAATTACTTAACACTTGCAGTCACAGGGGGTACCTGTTTAACCACTACATTACATTATTTCTACCTTTGTAAAGTTCACTAGAATCTCAGTACCCATCTTTCTGGCATCTTCTCTATCATCCTCTACTAGTCAGAGCTTAGAACTGTCAGTCTTATTCCAGACTGCCAATCCAGATAGTCTGATATATTATATTTCTGTATTCTTTTTTTTTAATGAACCTAGTGGCCTGGTTGGTTATATGCTAATCTATATATATTTGATGTCCAGTTTTAATCTTTAGCTTCTATAAAGATGTTTCAAGAGTTTCAACCAGTTCAATGGTACTATTAAAAGTTTATACTACCTCTTTACTCAGGAATTTCCAAGTAGGTTTCTGTCATCTTGGTTCTTTAGTCTTCTATGTCTAATAATTTTATCGTAGGTTTGTACCAAAGTCTTATATAATACCAGTTAACATTCCTTTATGTATATGTAATGTTATATTTTATATAGATGTCTAAGCTTCCAAAGTTAAAAAGACCTGACCTGATATACTTAAATAACACTCATATAAGACTAACCAATTGACAGGAGACAGTTACTATAATACAGATATAATTTTTTAAATTTTGTCATAGATGGAATTTGAAGCTTAGACCTGTTACTTGGAGGATAACAACCCAACCACTACATTAAGATTACCATTCTTATATAGACAAAAATATATATATATATATTTTTTTTAAGTTAAAATCCCTATCTTGGGAATTGCAATGTTTTTATTCAAGTATATTAGGACACAGCATGCCACCAGAAGCTCATTTTACATTAGAGGTTATAACTAGTCACGCATGCACTTTTGGTACCTAATTTAAGTAGTCCACTCATATATTACTATAAAAGTTCTATACTAGTTACCATATCTGCAAGCCAACTAAGAGTCTTGCCTATTTAAACCCTCTGCATATGCAGTCCTCCTTGTATCATGAGAACATTTCAAGACGCCACCCATCCAAGTTCCCGATACTTATCGGTATCCTTAAGACTACTTTATTCTTGATAGGAAACTTATTAGAGCCTTTATATTTTACATATATAGACCTAGTTTTATGCAACATGCTATAGTTACCTAACACTTGCAATCACAAGGGTTACCTGTTTAACCACTATGTTACACTATTTTTACTTTTGTAAAGTTCACTAGAACCCTAGTACTCATCTTTTCAATATCTTCTTCATCATTCTTTACTAGTTACAACTTAGAACTGTTGGTCTTAGTTCAGACTACCAATCCAGATGGCCTGGTATGGTATACTTCTGTATCCTTTTCCTTTGGTGAACCTGGCAGCCTAGTTAGTTATATGCTCCTCTACACATATTTGCTATCCAGTTTTAATTTTTAGTTCCTATGAAGGTGTTTTATGAGCTTCAACTAGGAATGATAAATGATCTAAAATAACCTAAAATGATCCAAATAATCCAAATGACCAATGACTGATCATGAGTCATTTCAAAAGCCAAATGACCTTAGAAGGTTATTTAATATTTGTTAATTGATAATCTAACATCTTTTAGCCAATCAAACTTAATTATTATATAAAGAATAATTTTTATAAAATATAATTAACAATTGTAGCTACATATAAAAGTCAAAATTCTACTAAGTTAATTGATATTTATGTCTTAAATAAAGTTGTTCAGAAGAACAAAATGCATATATGCCAAAAATTTTATATAATTTGATTAACTTTTTATTATGCTATTTTCGTATTTTACCTTTATACTGTAATAGAATTTATTTTTTTCTTATATTAGTATATATTTATTTTTAGCTCTATATTATATTTTATAATTTTTCTAATATTTTTACATAGT